AAATGTATCACACCTGGGTCTAACAGATTTGATATCAACATATATCGGACAATGGTCACTGCAAATAGGGTTTAACACCCTGCGATCCGGCACATTTTGCATAGAGGATATGAATATGAGATCAATTAAAGTACTGGATTGCGGGGTGATTCGAGTTGGTTTGTCAATAATTTGGGTTAGTCCGTTTAAGGATTCCAATAATTGAATTTTACGATTGCTTTCATTTAAAATATCTACATGAAAGTCGCCAGTAATAACTGTAAATAAGTTAAGATCAACAGCGTTTCCAATTGTCTGATCAATTAGTTCCCAGTACGCAATGCTCCGGTCAGCTCTGTAGAAGGTACTTATGAGGTAGGTACGATGTTTACATTTAACATGAACCCACTTCAAGTCCAGCAATGTCGAGCTGGTGCATATGCTCCGCATACAAATTGTCTTTAACATATATAGCCACACCGCCCCCGAGACTCCCTCGATCTTTGCGGAATGGAGGTTGAAATCCCGGTATAAGAATATCATCTTTCGGAATGTCTTTATGCAACCACGTTTCAGTTATGCAAATGATATCAAAAGAATTAAATTCAACTTCTATAACATCCAATTTGTCTTTGAGACTGCAAACATTTAGGTGGACTATCTTTAAAGTATTTAGTACTGGACCAGGGTTAGGATGTACCTCTCCACAACAGAGTATTAGAAGAGATGCGATAATACTAACAGATTTGCTGAAAACGCAAAGATGTCGGGATAGAAAAGTGCAAATATTTAGTTTACAAGCTGCATATGAGTGTAGCCCGACTGCAAATGTCCCCACTGCCTGTCTGTACTGACTGATGTCAACCGGCATCTATACATTCAAACATTCTATTGTATGCAGCGGGTAGATGCACATCAAAACCATCATGTACTTGTTTTAAATACGCACAAAATGTCATTTCTTTCAAAATATAAGTTTGCAAATAGATATCAGAGTCAACTGAGGGAGAGTAAAAACATCCAGTAAAGTCAAAGAAAATGTTTTTACATAAGTAGAGAAAAGAAAGAAAACATGTAAAAAAGAGGAATGAAAAAGTCCACACCAGCATTTCGATGAGATGGGGAAATACCATGGTGGAAACAGTATGGGTAATTAAAATGAAATAATTTGTACAGAAGGGGGAAAAGTGCCATAAACCTGCTTATTGCTATAAAAAGCAATAGTAGGGAATAAAAATACCTAAGGTAAGTTTGTATATCATTGTTAATTTTTGATTAATTATATTTATGCACTTTTTATTTGCGAATGTATGCTTATAACTTTGTTTATTTGTTTCTTCATAATCAGCAATGTATATTATATGTCATGAACAAGTGATAATTGTGTTTTAATTGTGTTTTCTTATTTTTGTTTGCATGTGACCTTTAAGTATATCTACCAGCCAGTTTTGCCAGCCAGTCTGCTGCACGAACAAATTCAATGGGCGACTTCTGTTGTCTCCGGAGCTGATCCTGCAAACGGCGGGCTCGAGCATCTATCTCTCTGTACATCCATTTCCTGGGTGGTGCAGGAGCTCCATGATCTAGCTGGGCAATCTGTCTCCCGTTCATTGCCTCGATGCTCTTGATTGCCTCGATGAATTCAAAGATGTTAGGGCGACTGTGATTGATGCTCTGTTTGAGTGATGAATGCCTTCAAGATGATTATTTGTTCGTGGGCCGCCTGTTTCGGAATGGTTCCACACAGGGATGGGGAAATGTGCGTCATAGTCAACCCACACACTCACAATGTAGTCCTCGGATGTCGCATGGTTCATGGCCTCCAACCAGGTGTCTTGGACAAATTCAGGAGGTAAAAAGGGAAGGGCTACAGCAGATCTAAACAGGTTCTCATTCTCTTTGTACGCTATCACAAGCCCTAGGTCCTGGATTTTGCGCCACAAGCACTGCGTGTAATGAAAGTAACAGCCTCTCACAGATGTGTTAGGGAAGCCATCAGAGATAGCCTTGTGAACAGGGTACTCAAAGTCCACCTGGATAGTCAATGGTTGAAGAGGTCAGCAAGTTGTTTGTTGAACAGCATCCTTCAGTACACGTAGGTCTACAGTAAGTTGCTCGCTGACGATCAGGCATAAGACAGAAAGCTAGGGGAATCAGGGGTATTGCCAGTAAGAGAGTGAATCACGTAAACTGATGCCAAAGTCTTGGACACGAAGGGAAAGTTCCATCCATGAAGAGGACATCAGCCTGCTGTAACGTTGTGAGTGATTCATCCGTGGAAAACACCAGCACCTTGTCACCGTCTCCGTCTTCAACAGCAAGAAAGCGATGTCAATCAGATGTAGTAATCCATCTTCCATCTAAGTTGACATCTCTACGATGTTAAGGCAATGCAGAAGTGGTCTTCCTTCTGTGTCTATACAGGATGACTTTACACTGGATAGAGGTTGTGCAACAGCAGCAGCATCAACAGGCAGTTGGCGGAGATCTTCATTGTACATTTGGGGCATTGGAGTTGACTCATCCTTGGCTCTTTTTCTCAGTGTGCTTATGAGTCGAATTGTGGCTGGATTTTCGGGCCCGTGAATGTGCTGTCTCCAGTAACTGTTCTGATGAAATCTCCAGTTGTTGATAAGTTGCCTCTACATCTAGGAACAACACACTTCCAGCAGTCAGCCACGCTACCAGACTTGTTCAGCTTGTATCGAAATCCTGCATGCCAGCAACGAACTCTGCTCTCTGAACACCAGCCATAGCTAACACAAAATCATTGTGACTTGGTCTTATATACTTGTTGATAAATGTGACAGTTAAAACATTTTAATATTTAATCAGAGTTGATGGATTATCTTCGCTTGGGTTGAAGAGGAGTGATCTCCAAATATCAAAACAAGTATGTCCAGTTTTCTAAACAAATGAAAGTATGATGATTATCTGTATCTTTAATCAGAGTAGAGGGATTATCTAGCTTGGGTTGGAGAGGAGTGATTTCCAAATATCAAAGATAAATAAAAATGTATATTGCACATACATCACAATTTTTCCACACATACGTACATTTATGCAGGCGTCAAACTCACCCACACACCCACACACTCACCCTTCTATCCTCACACCCACCCACACTCACAACCATCATCCAGACACACACACCCAAACCCCGTACTAAGAGACATTTAGTCTCCTCCTGTACCTGCGGTAGACAAGAGCGGCAAGAGGTTTAACAAACGCTGTGTGTTGCAGCATACACACAATCTGCTGAACAGCAGGCAACAGCGAGAAAACAGAATCTAGCTGATTCAACTCCATGAGAAAACTGTAATATCTGAATCTGAATAGAATGGACAACTGATCAGAAAATAAATCTCATTCCCCACTGAGTATGAGTCACAGGACTTACATAACCGATGTTCCAGAGTTGTCTTAGGTCGAGTGAACCTGCCACGTTCAACTTCTAAGGGGAGAGAACTACAGCGCAGCTTAGCCAGAGCCCTGCGGTGGGATCTGGGAATTAACTGAGTAAGGTACGGTTCGGCCACCAGGGAACTTTTGAAAAGTCTATACGTTCGCAGTTTATTTCCATTCAACTGTCCACGATCATTCAATAATTCTCTAAACCATTCTTGTTCGTCAAGAGATTGAATCCACTCACAGGATAATTTAACATCAAGCCCTGTCATGTTATAGATGTCATGAACTGGAAGCTCACGGGACTCAAACGCGTTGCACACCCGTTCTTAACACGTTCAAGGGGTCTGCTTGTACGGGACGGTGTTATATCTGTTTGATAGTAAGGAGCTGCAAATCGTGATATCGTGCCCAGACTAACATTCAGACGTCTGGCAACAGAAGATTAATCTCCAGCGTGGATTCTTTCAATGGCGATGTTCCGTGTCGCAGCGTCAAGACGTAGTGCAGTGATTTGACCTTGAAACTCCTTCAAACCGAATGCCGATTCCCGAAAGAAATTAGGATTTTTATAGCCATACAATTTCACCTGGAAGGTGATTGCTGTTGCTTTGTGGCGATGCCTTTTAATCCCTGTAAGGAATCTCATCAAAATGAACATTTGCAGGTTAAATCGATTTTTTACTTGTGCAATTGTGTAAAATCATGTTATCAATACTTTTGTCACATATTTTGACGATTGTCTGAACACAACAGGTAATTAATAGATTTTTAAAGATACAAAATGCCTATGCTATTCTTTTTGGGGATAGTATATTACGTGTATGTGTAAACCCGTTGATAGATGTGTTTTAGCTGTTAGCGATAACATTCTTCGCCAGTTAGGTCACAGGTTAGAGGTTCAGTCCGTAAGCGCCATACATCTCATGCTCTAATGTTGTTTCATCAATACTTCACATAGGCGGATCCAGAGGAGGGGTGCAGCACCCCAACCCACAACCCCTTTGTCGAGAAGGTTTATTAAATGACAATTGAAACGTATGAAAATGAAATGTGCACCTCCACTTTCTCAAGGGTGTGCACCCCTCCCTTCAGCCCTTTATCAAAAAGCTGTATCCGCCCCTGCTTCTTCAAATCTTCAAACTGTACATGTTCTAATTTCAACATTTGACGCTTCGCTGACCTAGAATTTTTCCTATTTGTATGTTACCAAAGTGTTACCACATTTGTTCAGGTACCGGTGTAAACTTGACATTCAGCAGAGATTGCTTTTGAATATAAATATGCTGCCGTTTACATGTTCCTTTGTTTGAGTGAGTGAGTGAGTAAGTTTGGTTTTACGCCGCTTTTAGCAATATTCCAGCAATATCACGGCGGGGGACACCAGAAATGAGCTTCACACATTGTACCCATGTGAGGAATCGAATCCGGGTCTCCGGCGTGACGAGCGAACGCTTTAACCATCAGGCTACCCCACCGCCCCTCATTTGTTTGAGCCGGTGACATTTGTAGTGCACGATTCACGCCCAGAATTCAAGTGAGGTGATATCGTTACTCTTTGTCATGCATATAAACTGATAATGTAAGCCATGTCATAATATTTCATATTCCAGGCGATCATAAGTGGAGCCTCGTCCTACCTCTACAGAGCCACGCGGAAGCGAGCCTATTTTCGGGATGTCGTGATCCAAATACCGGAAACGTGGACGCAGAACGACACATGGAGAAGGTCACAGAAAACGTTCCAACAGGCTGATGTCCGCATCGACAACCCTCATCCGCTACACGGCGAGACTCCTTACACCTTTCAACCAGGACAGTGCAGGGAGCCAGGACTCTATGTTCATTTCACACCCAGCTACATTCTAGATCATGGTGTTAACAGAATGAGGAACTGGGGTGATCCAGGTATGCTATGATTTCACTTTGTCCGTTTCATCTTATTGCAAGGGTACTACAAAAACAAAACAAACAAACAGCAACAACTGCAACAAACCAATAAAAGAAAGCATCCACACACGTAATACAATTATCAGTTCAGGCTAAGGTTCACGCAAATAGTACTCATACTTTCCAATGAAGTATTCTTGTTCTTCTGTGCCAGGTCGTGCGTTTGTCCATGAGTTCGCTCATCTGCGGTACGGTGTGTTCGATGAGTACGGGTATCCCCCCGACTACCCAACTTGGTACCTCGATGGTGATGTCATCAGACCAACTGGATGCACAACTGAAATAGATGGGAGTTTTATGCAATCCTACAAACCTTGTGACCCCAGACACAACACAAAAGGATGCGTATTCATGGCAACCAGCAATGGGAATTCCAATGCTTCCGTGATGTATATGCCTTACTTGGATTCGGTACGTCATGAAAGAGCCAACTGTACTATCCTTCCTCCTAAATTCCGAAAAGTGACAATTATGTTTTACTTTTTCTGTATTTGCTCCTTACTATGCTACAAGTCCATTTGTTTCCATTGTTTTACATAATGGCTGCCAACAATAGGTTTACTGATGTCGGGCAACACTAAATACTTTCTACTGTCAGACAAAAAAACTAATCCAAAATCAAAGCATATATAAGAGTTAGTGACACAATTCTCAAATTGTCAAAATAGAAATGTTTTTGAGGAGTTATTATTACCTCATTCATTACTCGCTATGGCATACCCGAGATAAGTGCCAACTTTAAAAAAACAACCAAACAAACACTGGTCCCAACTATGATCAATGCTGTCAAACATTACAAACATCGTGAACGTCTGATCCAACATGAATGATATAATTAGATGAAATTTAATGTTCACGTTTATGTTTGTAGGATGTCTGTGCCGTTTTGGTGAATATTACATGATACGCATACTATATTCCTTGTAGAATGTTGATAAGTTTTGTTTTAGAACAAGATAAGAAGCATACGTTTTCTTGATTACAAATTATCATCAAAGTGTCTAGCACAAATTTAAAGGAACATATAATGTGGGTGTTTAGTTGTATCGCTCATGAACTGCATTTCAGTTGTATCATGAGGAACCAGCTTAATGCTGGAAAGAAGCCAGACAAGACAAACGAACACGAGCATGGATGATGATGATGATGCAAAGCTCACACCATGTCTGAGTCACAGATACAGGTGCAGCGAAAGGATACGATTTCGCACAGTAAATGCTGCCTCCGTAAATGACAGGGCAACACGTGACAGAATGTAATATACTCAGTCTGTATATAACATTTCATTGTGGAATATGGATTTCATTTTCATTTTATCATAAAATCTCTGGTTTCAGATACATGACTTTTGTGAAACAAATGCAGCGGATCCCAAATTACGTCATAATGGCGTCGCAAACAACGAACAAAACAGAAGATGCAACCGTGAAGGCACATGGGATATCATCAGACGACATGCTGACTTCCGGGCAATTGACGTCCCAGTTGACCTTGATGACGTCACACCAAGGTTTCGCCTGGTCTGTGACAAAAAGGAGACCCGAGAAGGTGTCCGGGCATGCGGGAGGCGCGTCGTACTGTTACTAAACACATCAGGGTCTATGCGTGAGGTAGGACATTGATGTTAGTCGATGTGAGGTGTCCAGTATTCCACCCAATTAAAGAGTCCCATTACCGCCAATAATTTGTAACACTTAACCTGTGGCTTTGTACATGTGTTGTTTTAAAAGGTACTTTCCCTCACGAGCCTTCATTGTATCAATAACACTTCTGGTATGGTCATTGGTTGTTTGAAATCATAATTAATCTACATCAGTGATGTTTGTGATGTCTTGTTTGAGTGGCATTTAGAAGTTGGTGGATGAACAACGAGGAGAGTTCTATGGATATACAACTTCTTGAATATAATATGAGCGACGTAGCTCATATTATATTAAAGAAGTTGTATATACATAGAACTCTCCTCGTTGTTCATGTTTGTGATGTGTGAAAACGTGTCTGCTTTGTTCAATTAAATTGACTGTTTTCAAGGGAATATGTTAACGGAAACCCGTCCCTATAGTGTCCCCTCAGCGGTGATCACCCCTCACCCAGTCATATACATTCAGACAGTTTCGGCATCAACGCGAGGTGCTCGGCCAGACGGTCAATCCTCGAGTCGACATCAAACTTTGGTGCTGACGATAATGTCGCTGACCAACTTGTTGTGGTTCAGTGTCAGAGTCAGAACAGCGGTTAATGCTATATCTTGCCCTGCACGATCCATCTTTCGCCAATGGAATGTGTTATTGGTGAAATGGAACGACGTTAGGAACGGATTCCAAATCATCCAACAACGTTGTAGATATAGAATGCTAGCCCCGTCCATTCATGAATCTATATCGGGCAACATGACTCACAGTTGAAGGTTTTTAAAAAGGATACACTCAACACTAAAAGTGTGGACTTGCTTATGAAACTGTAACGTTACCCATTTGCATATGGCAGGAATGCCCTTCCCATGTACTGTTTCCTTCAGACGTATCCACGACCACGTCATACCAAAAGACGTTAAAATATGGTACTTGTTGGTCTCTGCCTGGCACTCGGCATTAACGGGTACAACAAGGACTGGTCGGCTCGGAGTCAGTATGATGTGTCTAAGTGGGGTATTCATGCTTCACTGCTCCATGGTATCTCAGTGGGCTAGCACTCTAAAACCAGCTTCAGTCTGGCCTAGTACAAGCAGCCGCACATACACATACACACGCATGCACGTCGTCATGTGAGCGAAATATTCTCAAGCACGACGTTAAACCCGAGTTCACCTCACCTCCTTCAGACGTTGTAATTTTTATGGGATATAATTACGTTTGCGGCAGTACCTTCTATTGACCGATCCTCTTTGTGTTTTACATGTCACAATAACTTTTGCTTTAGAGTATGTATCTAATTGACACAAATATATTCTGCAGAATTATCGCTTCTTCAAGCTGACTCAGTTTGCTGACAAGTTTATTAAAGACGTCCTCCCGTTGGGTTCAGAAGTGGGCGTGATTGCCCCCTTTGCGTCTGCAGCTTCCAACTTGACGCAGATGATCTATTTGTCGACTGACGAGGTCAAGGCCAATCTTACGGCGAGACTTCCGAAAGACGAGGACGATTACATTGGGGGCACTGCAATCGGTCTTGGCCTTCTCAAAGCTGTTGAGGTCCATGGTTTGATAGACCACTGTCGTCATTCGATAATTGATGAGAGCTAGTACTTAACATGCATACAGTAATAGCAATGTTCGAATAATTATCGTGGATGATTAAGGAAGGATGAAAGCTTGTTTATTCGTTTATGTGAAATTAATATTAAGTGTAACAGTTGTATAGACTGTGTACGACGTAGAATACATAATTCAAATTACAGGATACGCAGGTCAGTTGAATTTAACTATCATTTTGATAGATGTTTCATTATCTAACTGAAAGAGACATGACATCATGTTAATGGATGTGAATGTAGCTGCTGTCAGCCAATGGCCATTCACCCGAGGGCGGCCGAATAGTCCTTGTTGTCGATGGAAGTGAAACCGGGGATCCACATAGTGCCAGTGTTCTACCGGACCTCGTCCGTGCCTCGGTTACAGTCCATACAGTCGCTTTGGGTAGTGCCGCTGATACAGACCTGGCTAATGTAGCAGCTGCCACAGGTGAGCAAGACATTGTAACATCATCGCAGGTATAGGTTGGTTGGTTGGTTGGTTTGTTGTTTCACGCCGCACTCAGCCATGTTACAGCTATATGGCAGCGGTCTGTAAATAATCGACTCTGGACCAAAATTCCAGTGATCAACAACATGAGCATCGATCTACGCATTTCGGATACGATGACATGTGTCAACCATGTGTCAAGTCTTTATTTGCACTTAAGAGGCCACAGGCCTATAGTACATGTATACTGACTATATTGTTATTAGGCAGTAGAGAGTACATTTCTCCTGTGTAGAAAGGCATGGTATAGGAACATTGACAACTTTTCCAGGTGTTCCTTGCTAGAGTAGGTTAATAGAGATATAAATTTATAAATATTGTGATGTACAAAGTACTATTTCTTAATATACTTATTTCTTAAATTGTGGTTGGCTGGACAAACACAAAGAAAATGATATTCATCTTCATTTAGATTCAAGTCACATATTGTACATATTCTATCGTCTTTTTTTATTCCAATATATCTACCTGTTTCTAATAACAAATCATGGGAGGAGCAACGAAATTTTGTAAGCGTGATTCTATATTTCCTTACATTCAAAGATGATAGATAGGTTTCATTGTATATAGATTGCTTAAACATTCTGTAATAGAAACATTTATTTGATACAGATAATTGGTCAAGCCAAGTCTGGAGATATATATCTTGTAACCTTTGTTTAATGGATATGAGAAAAGTTGGATGCGAGTCTTTGCACTGTTCTAGCCATATATGACCGAAACCAGTAGAAAATAGTAATTTTTGGACATCTGTGGCCCAATTACGTTTTCCATTTCTGTCGTACAAAATCATCATATTGTAACATTTCGGGGGTAATCTGTAAGATGGCATATTTAAGATTGTTAACCAATATTTTACTACTTTCATTTTTGATTCAACAAATGATGGAAACCTACCACATTCACCATAAACCATTATGTTTGAAGTAGTAACTTTAACACCAAGGAATCTTTTTATTGCATATAAATGTAGTTTTTCTAGCGTATCAAATGTTTGTAGTCCCCAAACCTCAGAACCATATAGAAGTATGGAACTAATCTTAGCATGAAAGATTCTAAAAAATGATTTGTGTTACAAGTCACCTAAAATATAAATATATCTAATAATACCAATTAGTATTTTCTTTGCTAGCATCGATGCATTTTTGACATGTAAGGACCACGATAGGTGGTTTGTAAAGTAAACTCCTAAGTATTTGTAAGACGTAGTTATTTCTATCATTTCACCTTGATAATACCAATTCTCTTTTGCAGCAAGTTTACCTCCATTCTTGAACAGAATTATCTTAGTTTTATCTCTATTTGCGGTTAGTTTCCATTCATGACAGTATGTTTCTAATTCATTTATTTCTGCTTGTTTTCATCCGCGAATAGTGCTAGAGAAAAGTATGATATCATCAGCAAATAATAGAAGAAATAGCTGTACTATATCTGGATGTAGCTGAATACCATTTGAACAGTTTTCATGAATCTGTATTGCTTGGTCATTGATAAAGAAAGAAAATAAATATGGACTCAAGATACAACCTTGTCTTACTCCTATTTGGCTCTCAAAGGTTTCAGATATTTCATTATTGTTTCTCACACACATCTTTACGTTATCATAAATACTTCTTGAAAGTGTACTCATTTCACTGCATAAGGAATGATTACCTAAAAGATTCCATAACTTTTCTCTTTGAACAGAGTCGAAAACCTTTGCAAAATCTACAAAGAGAACATAGAATTTGGTACCTTTCCTATTTAAGTATTTCTGTATAAGTGAATGTAAAACAAATATGTTATCAGTAGTAGTATATCCTTTTCTAAAACCAGCTTGGGATTCGCTTATCTTATCAAAGGATTCTGCCCAGAAAACTAGACGTTTATTTATGATGGCAGTGAATATTTTACTAAAGACACTTAGAAGAGTAATCCCTCTATAGTTTTCAGTTTGATTTTTATCACCATGCTTATGAATATGTACAATGATACCAATCGACTATGAGTGTGGAAAAACAACATTTTCAAGAATGACATTAAACAATAATTCAAGATATGGGAGTAGAATATCTGATGAGTGTGAGAAAAATCGGAGATAGTATCATCTATTCGTGGTGATTTCTTTAGCTTCAATTGTCTAATACCATTTAAGATTTCTTCTAGAGTTATTGGAGCATCAAGTATGTCATTTGTCATTGAGTTATTTATATCACATCTTTGACAATTATTTTTATCGCCCTGGCTGGCTGTATTGTTATTTATGGCATCATTAATTTCAGATGTTGAAAACAATTCTTTAAAATAAGAATACCATTCATTGATCTCAATGTCATTTGTTTGTCTTGCTTTCCCTTTCATTTTTTTTCAGCGAAGACCAAAACTGTTTAGAATTGTTAACACTATTTTCTAATTGTTGTTGTTTCAGTTTCAAATAGTCACTTCGTTTTTGTATACAAACTGCATTCTACGTATTTCTAATGCAATGGTAATCCTCTAAAGCTCGAACATCCTTAGATTTACGAAACCTATTTAAATATTTGCATGTTTCTTTTTTCAGTTTATCACACTTTGCATCATGCCAAGTTTGAGCTCTGTTTCCTCTCTTACCAGTTAGTTTTTTTCATATCTGAGGCAGCTGTACAAAGTGCTTGTACAATAAGGTCTAAGCTATGACTGGCTTAGTAACTCTTGAATACTTTCTGAGAACATATTTTGTCTAAAGCGCTCAAGCTTATCATTATGCCAAACAAATCTATACGACTGTTTCTCAGTTGTTGTATGATACGTGTGAAGCGCACGTAACTTCATAGTGAGAGGACGACGGTCGGATTCTGTGCGGGAAGAGATTGCAAAGTCAAGCACACTATCAAAAATTGATGTTGAACTTAATATATAATCTACTACACTTGTTCCGTTATGACCAATAAACGTAGGGTCGCCTATTTCTGAGTCGGATCCACTTCGTCAATTCATTATATAAATGTTGAGAACTGAGCATAAGTCTAACAAGCCCTTGTCATACACATTTACAATTTTGTCAGATGAAATCTTTTTATACTAAAATAATCTAATAAGTGTCAACCATGTCAGCGAGCTAGACCACCCGATCGCCTCTTACAAGACCAATAATAAGCAGGATCTTAAAGGGTAGCACGTATAGGTCGTATATAAATAATTGAACGTTGTTTTGTGTACGGGTCTGCCTAAGTGTACATAGATCACATAAGGACACCCACCGATGCATACCCTTAGCATTTTCAGGTGTCGCGTCTTACTTTGTCTCCTAGGATTTTGTGTATTTGTCTTCAATGGACACCTGTGAATGAGCAGTATATAAATTTGAATCAATATCAGTCCTCGCAAGCTTGTCTGGCTCGGCACACATGACCATATATTGGATGTAATCTAATAGTATGTGTCCGAGTCTACCGATGATATTTGGTAGACGTCCATCAGGTTTCTGCCTGCATTTTTGTGGAAATCCTAAATGCATTCGATTGTAATAATATTCGAAAACAGTAAGTAACCCTACTGCCCCATGCAACACAAATGTATTAACACTGCACTTCAAATACAAAAAAATAATGAGTATTGAGCTATACATTTTGAAACCATGATGCATAATGTTAACCATTTCTTCACACCAAATGATATGGATGTGCCTAACGTCCACGAACCCGATAAAACCTGGCATAGTACATGTTTGACTGTTCTCCACAGGAGGGATGTATAGTTTCTACTCCGAGGAAGACAATTCCAGTGCACTGGATTCGGCTGCCATTAGATTACTTCCCGATGTGTCACTGTGTTCCGAGACTGAGATGATAGAGGTATGCGATTTGAGAAACGTTGAATATCAGTTGCTGAGATCTGCTTTGAATTAAATATACAAATTTATACAACATATATGTGTTTTAGCCGCGAGGGTTTATGCAGACACAATATCATTTGGATCATGTAGCCATCATCTACGACATCTTAAACCTTTATATTATCAATGTAAGCATTGTGAAGGCAGTGGTTTGTTCCTATTCCTTGCTTACTTTTTTTAGTATCGTCATGGTGTTTTTTCACATTTATTACAGCTATTCAGCCGTGGACTGACTTTGACAACGTCCATGCCTTACTTCACTGATAGCGTCCGTATTGACTCCACCGTTGGAAATGACACCCTCTTCACCTTCACTCTGGCTGCCAACACCGATATCGAGGTAACGCCCATTTTGTCTGATCTTATCTTATCGAGGTAACATTCATTTATCTGACCATACCTGATCAAACACTGGTGAATTTATTTGATATCAAGGACAATACATCTTGGCTGCCAACACCGATATCGAGGTAATGTCCACTTATCTGACCGGTGATACCCCATTAGTCAGACACCCCAGTTGTCAGGCGCACTTGAAGTGAAGGTGGAAAAGGCTCACCCCTACAGTAACAATAGATCAGTCCTGACTAGTATATCCCCTGTTCTTTAGGATCAAGTGACCAGCATAACACAGTGTTTGCTTTGAATAATAAGAACAACATGGGCCTTATCTAATTGGCTTATCTCTTGCACAATAAGATCAAACTCCCATATGTCAGCCTTGACTGTTAAAGTTTAATCCCCTTGTATTGATCTACTCACATAATATTAAGAGTTTTCTTATGCATAGTAGATAGTGTGGCGTAATTAACATTGTGAGTAAACCAATAAAAAATAAAAAAGCAACTTGACACTGACTTCTCAACTCAGGTCTGATGTTTTTACTTGACAAAGTATATGTTTCCCGAAATGTCTGTACTGCACAATAATGGCAGGTTTGCAGAAAGTAGAGAGGCACGATTCAGTTGATCTTTGATCGCCATGTATACCACAAGAACAAGACGAGGACGACTTGTTTGCACTGGAGATGCACTGTCAAGACCTGTACAGGGAAGTGCACAACAGTTGGAAACTTCGTAAGAAATTGCACTGAGCACAACAAGAATCAACTTCATCAGCTGGATGTGAAAGCGTGCCCGAGAAAAACCCACGACGCCTATGCCAGCACTCTACCAAGACGAACTACTGAAGTACAACGAAGAAGATGCTGCACGCCTACCCTCCTATTCCGGTCTTGACAGCGCACTGTACAGACACAGAGGTCACACAATCCCAAGAATACCACTGATCCTTGCGGACATTCAGCTGGATGGTATTTGGACTGAAACACTTGACTCTGAGCGATGTCTTCTGTTCACTGATGTGATGAGGACAAGATTGTTGTTTTTTCTACTTATTCCCAGCTACGAGCCCTTCAGTCAGCTACCACTATCTACATGGACTGAACCTTTACAGCAAGTCCTGAATTTGACTTTGCAACTCCATATTGTGCCAGTAGTGCTAGAGAATGTGACAATTTTACTTATATACATGTGATATTGTGAAAAAGTAACAAATGTCATGAAAATTACAAAAGATGCTATAAAAATAAATAAAAAATCGCAACTGTCTCATTATGTCTTGCGAATGGGGTAACAGTTGGATTAATCCATTTCCCCAATGGGTAACAGCCTTTCCAAATTTGTTCACTCCACCAAGTAACTGAGTTTTTTTCAAGTGTCTAACTAATGGGGAGTCTGACTATTGGGGGGGGGGGGCGCACCGTCTGACCTTACCGTATCGAGGTAACGTCCATTTTTTCAGACCTTACCTTATCGAGGTAACGTCCATTTGTCTGACCATACCTTATCAAACACTGGTGAATTTACTTGATATCAAGGACATTACATCTTGGCTGCCAACACCAATATCGAGGTAACGTCCATTTGTCTGACCTTACCATATCAAACACTGGTGATTGAATTTAATATGAAGGAAAGTACATCTTGGAAGAACTACTTCAGGTAAATCCACGTATCACCCGTGCCGTATACCACACCAACAGGGCTGGATGATAACTATCTTTTAATACAACATGAGTACTTGAGAGGGTTATGTTATAAATTCCGTGCTATTCGGACTACCTCTTCATAGGATAAGTATAATTTTGCAATAGGGAAATATGCTTGGCTGTTTGTTCCACCCGATTGACCGCGAGGACAAACTTTTCACAGCTATAATTGCCTTTTGTATCATTGAACCCAGATAGTTTGAGCAGAATCGCATTATCAGTTGGTCGATTGGCTGAACTGTTGAACTTTTCAAGCCAATTACCTATGCGATAAAGCCGAAAAACGTGTACCACAACTGACTACACTGACCGTCTGTTGCAGGTGAATGTAAGCGACCCAAGTGGAGATACGTATGATGAGAGATCAGCGGAGTACAGCATAGACTCTGAATTAAATATTGTTCGGCTCAGAATCCCCTTTGCTAAGGTAATCTAAGTCAGTTGGTGTCTGTGGCGAAGCAATTCACGCTGCAGATATTATCTCTGAGCTGTCAGAAAGCCTATCTGTGATCGTTAGTTCCACGAAACTTGACAAAAAAATCACGTTTGATTTTCCGCGCAACGCTGACATGCTGTGATTTACTGCCAACTCCTGACTCTTACCATGAGTGCAAACTAAGATATGTAGGGACTCAGGAATCGGTGTGGATCCCTGTTACAAAGCGACTGCAGTGGTACTACAAAACGTTAGCAGATACATCTGCACTATTACCAGATATGCGTCAGGCGTGAAAACTTCAGAACCTGAAAACATGTTCATTACTTATTTGTAAATGACTGACTTCCCTATGTTCAAAATGAGAAACGCATCGTAGTGTCCCGCAAATGTACATTTTCAACTATATACCTGCTTGAAAGTTTAATCATTATCCTCAAAAACATATTGAATTAGGATTTTCATTTTCTTGATATTCATAGAATGTATGTCTGACAAATTGCATCAATACCATTTGGACCCCTAATATTGCAATTTTAGATCAGGGCCAAGTTCAACGTTATGTCTTTATGGCGATCCAAATTTCAACAGTCGAGCCTTTGATATTTACATACTTTTCACCTGTTGGGTTTCAATAGAGCATTTTCTTTCTGCTGGCTGCAAAGAGCCCAATACGACACTTGCTCATATGATGTTTGGTGAGGGTTGCAGCATTCAAGGAAACACGTGGAAGAGATTTTCTCATTTGATTCATCAATGACCAAAATTATGTCTCCTGCAATTCCCTGTTTTGAATTGTACCATATGCCCCTCCAATCAGTGTGCGAAATAGTTTCCAAAGTTTGCTAGCCAGTCAGGCTAGCTATGCCTGAGAGTTCCTAGCCCACAAGATAATTCACTAGCCCAAAATTTGAATGTAGAAAATAAGCAAAAGATAACAAAAATGGACGACAAAAAGATATTGTCGGGATGACACGGGTTTCATAATTAAGATGCTAATATGGTGAACATTTTTATCAGGCCGTAATCTTGCATGATTTGAAAGTGTATTATTATTTAACAAGTCGGAGAGTGTGATATATTTACAAAATGACAAATTCACCAGCCAGTCGGTCGAGTGACTGTGGAGATTTACTGGCCCGACTGGATTTTTACTAGCCACGGGCTAGCGGGCCAGTGGCTATTTCGCACACTGCCTCCAATTAATCGCTTTTGCACGTGTTTGTGACAAGAGCCACTCTCCGTTTCTTGTATTGTCGCTTATAATGAATTATTTGTGAAGAGATGCTTATGATCTTGTCTTGGGAAAAAAAATTTGGTTTTGTTGCGATATGTGTCAAAGTTTCAGGATAAGCAAATTTGGGGATCTTAAAATGATTCTCAAGGATTCTCTCATATATCGTTTTATTGTTGTTTACTGTCGGTGCAGCATGTTTTGGAGGATATTTGAGACATTAAATTTTCTGGCGCTGATGTGTCATATTTCATATCATAACACCGAGTGTCACCTCTACATCTTAAACACGTTCCAGCCAGGGCGATGGACATTCACTGTTCAGAGTAGATCCGTTACCGGGTCAAGTTTTGAGTCTGTGATAGTCGTTGTGAGGTCGTTACCGATGGTGAACCGTAGACCATACAAGATCGAGACATGGCTTAACACGATGACCGCAAACGTCACTGACAGGCTCCCCGTCGTGTACACATACGTCCACATCGGCTACAACCCCATCATCCACGCCTCTGTACAAGTGACTGTTGACAGGTCTCCACAACCAAGTGTAACCTTAATCCTGAAAGACAATGGACAAGGTATGTTCACTTAAGCTGAAAAAGTCATTGTTACTTGTAGAAACAAAGCATATTTTCGGAAAGCCCAATAATAAAGAGCAGTAGGAATGACAAGTGTTTATGGATGATCAACTTCTCTACTGTACATTTGCGACGTTTCGGTATAGATGTTTATACCGTTTTCAAGCATGACATGGGGAATGAGTACAGCAGGATATATATAGGGTAACGTCGCAGTTGTACAATACAGAAGTTGATCATCCATAAACACTTGTCATTCCTATTGCTTACAACTTCTAGAATGCCTCTCAAACTGTTAATAAAGAGCAGTTCATTTGGGAATTAATTCAAAGTTTGAAATTGTTCTTTCTTGCAGTCGTCGATGCACGGGCTAATGACGGTGTTTACTCGGCTGTTTTTCTTGAATTTACAACCAACCAGCGGTACTCCATGCAGACCAGTGTGTCATCCGTAGAAAACCAGACCCTTATCATGATTTCCGGGAACTCCGGAGCTGAAGCTTACTCCATCTTTCAGAGTATGTCGAGTGCATATCCGGGGCAAGATGTATTTAACAAGGAGAACATGTTCAGTTAACGCAGTGCTGTTATAATGCCAAACTGAAGAATTTCCGTGTCATCGCGTCTTTCACTCGAAATAGTATTTTCATTGCAAATCATATCTCGAAGATAGTCCGGAGCAGGCCATGTCCAATCAACTTATCGTTTTCAGTGTTTATTAGTTTGATTACTTTCCCCACATAATCAGGTACTTGATTATGACAAAATGTCTTTCACAGTGTGTTGTTTTACATTGGCAATGCAAGAAAGTGTGAACTAAAATCAGAATTCTCGATATTTCAAAGCATATTGTATGCAAGAAATATACGTAACATATATTATATTTGTGATTACAGGGTCTCAGAAAAGTACAAAATTCTAGTACTGGTAGGTTGATAGGTTGAGTCCCATCCGGAATTCGAGCCCGCCCTCTCTCTTAGAGTCAGGCAGCTAATCGCCTTCACACAAAGTAGCGATCCTACCACTCAGACCGCGGCTTGGCATTGTGTATTCAACGAAAACACATTATTTTGTACAGTGCAAAACCTATGTAGGTCTTATTTTCGGTTACACGGTCGAGATTATATTTTTTATACAGAATTCCATGGCTTCATCTGAAAATAAGATGGTGGCTCCCTTTGTCGCGAGCTACCGTAGATTTGCTTCAATGTTGCTGACTGTGTTTATTATTGACTTTTGTCAATTGCGGTATCACATTACTTTCCATCAAGTTTCCACAACAAATTACGATCTGTTTGAGGTCGTCAAAAAACTGTAAGTATACATAGTAACATTTCTTTCAGATACATCCCGGCCTGTTCGGATGGAGCCAGCTGAATTATTTACAAGAACTGCGTCACCTGGCACTGTGGACGTCACTGGGTACGATAGTTCAGTAGACATATTTGCCCCCAATGACATATCTGACCTTTTGGTAGTAACTTCAGACGCCAAAGCCTTCACAGTGACCTTAAACTGGACTGCGCCAGGAGGTGACCTGGATAAAGGAACAGGTAATTGAAACGAAGTTGCTGATGATGTTAACCACTTGTTTGCTATCAAGGACGACATTTGTATACAGACAATAGTAGCAGTAGTTCCACCTGTTTAGCTAGCAAACACATATAGACATCCTGAAAGGAAATGGAATCCCGTGATAGATCTCACGCGTAACTTCTCACCTTTGTATATTTCTCAGGATATGCCTCTCAGACGGAACTAATAAAATTTGGCTTGTATTCCATGTTGAAACAATGGTATGTTTGTCAAATGTTCCTGTTTGCTTTGGTACTGTTGCACCATGTTACACAGCTGACAGATACGAGCTCCGACTTGGCAGCAGTCTGAACCAGCTGAGTGAAACCTTCAGCACAGCACAGCTGATTGAGGAGAAGGATCTGCAGAACAGTTCCCTCGCGCCCAGCTCTGCAGGCTCCGAACAGCGCGTGGTTATTAATGTACCAAGAGACTGGAACTATAGTGCCTACTCGTTTGGGGTCATTGCTATTGATGATGCAAATCTGAGGTCACGTGTATCTAATTTGCAAAGTGTGACCTTCAAACAAGCAAGGGTTCAAGGTGAGATTCGGCACTATTTGTTATTAGAGAATACAGTGTTAATTTCTTCTTTTGCTCGATCTCAAAATATATATGAGGACGTTTTTAAAGTGTTTTGTAAAGTATTGTGTAATTATATTAGAAATACAGTTAAACACCGTTATGTCGGACTCATGGTCGTCTCGAAGTAGCAGCTTGTACATTATTAATTCATTATACCGAAGCCTGATATATACTGACTATAATTTACAAAACAGATGCATCTTTAGATGTTATAATTTTTCAAATTCAAGATAGACATTGTTTCATTGGATGGTATCACCAATGATAGTACCTGACCACCAGAGAAGACTGGATGCAATGTATAACTTGAAGTTATGTACATGCACATAGTTGTTGATAGTTTTTAAAACTAAAGACGAATAAAAGTATAACTTAAAACTGGAATGCTAAGAGGTTTAGATGGAAAAAAAGAAAACGTTGTATTTTCCACTTATGTCCTACCAGTTTCTGATTTATTTTAGAATCTTTACATCAACCTGTCTAATTTACACGAATAAAAGTGTACCTGATAAAAAGATATGATATAATCTATAGTCAGTTGCAGATTGTAAATCCTACAGCGCACATTGGCAGACTTTTGTGATCGGGAAGCCCCCAATATAGCCATAAAATATTCATATACTCATGCCAATAATGGTTGTCACCCCTTTCAATTAAGGTGTGAGGTGTGCTTGGGGTTGGGGTGGGGACGGGGTGACAACCATTATTGGCATGAGCATAAATCAAACGACGAAGAATTAATGCATAATATTGTATTTATAGGGGAATCCAAAGACAAGATGCCTCCTGGGAGGATTACAGATCTGACGTTATTGCACTGTGATCCAGTTAGCAAGACCTTCACCTTATCCTGGACAGCCCCTGGTGATGATGGATACACAGGCAGAGGTAGGTCCGCTTCAGACTCGAAGTCACCGTTTCTAGGTGAGAAAACGTCAGCATCTTATACCACTCGTAACTAGCGGCTAATAGAATACGGCTAGGCGACTTGCTTGATAACGCTTAGATGGCGATCATAATGTCAATCTCTGGTCTATCTGCCTAGATATTTACGTCATGTAGATCTCATAGGATATGCAGTCGTTCCTAGAACGTTTTATTGCGAAACGCACCTTGTCAATTTTATAACTAATGTATTAGGAATTTGTAACGGAAGTGTCACGAAGGTTTTAATTCCGATCATCTAGAAAACAGCTGCATGAGAAATAAAATCAGCTCCGATTGAATTGTCCCACTCTTTCGTGATAAGCGAGACACCAGTAGATATTCCTTTGGTTCCAGATATCTTTATAGGTCGGTTTCCTCAAACATTCACAATCTTCTTGTTCGAGATCAGTGCCGGTTGTTTTAACACAAAGCAAAGATGTGAAGAAGAAAATGATCGATTTGTATAGGCTGATCGGGGGGTCAGGCTTTCTGAATTGATTGATGCATGCCATTGCATCCCAGTTGCGTACGTGTAGATCGATGCTAATGATGTAGATCACTGGTCCAGATTCGGTTATTCAGAGAGCTACCATATAGCTGGTCACTCTCTGAGTGCGTCATTGAACAACAAACAAACAATCTAAGTATTGTTCCCTCTTTCAGTCAGCCGTTACGAGATGCGGGTTGGAGAGACAATACTCGCCATGAAGACAAACTACCGCAGCATGCATCTTGTCTCAAAAGATGAAATTCTCAACGGTTCCATTCTGCCGCTTCCTTCTGGGAAGGAACAACGCATAGCTGTCAGCTTGAACAGAAATGAACCACGAGAAATATTTGTTTTTGCAGTCCAGTCGTACGACCAGGTAGACCTTCCATCAGAATTATCTAACTTTCTCCGGGTCAACGTGACCGAATATAGCACTGCATTGAAAGTGATTGAAGAGAAGGGAGAGGAAGATTTAAGCTGGATTGGACTTGCAGAAGGACTAACTGCCGCAGCGGTTATTTCATTGTTTGGAATCATCATTTTCGTTGCCGTCAAATGGAAAATAATTGGTCAGAAACATGTCCTATAAACATGCATAGTAGCCAAATTTAAGCATTCCTCGTGAAGAGAACTCTTTTATTATGAAACTATTCCATATTCCTATTTGCACACCTATTTTATTCATACACTTCAGTATGCCTCTTTAGCAAGTGCAGTGGTGATTACATATACTGAAAGGCAAAGGAAACGTCGTGATATTGGAAATGACATTTGAGTAACAATGGAGTATTTGAACCTATTTTTTTAAAATATACACCGGAAGTCAAGTTTGAGGTAAACATGAATCGTGGTCGTATAGCCTGCATTGCTCAATGAAATATTGTTTGAGGTTGAGGTTTGAAATGTTATTGTTTTGGAAAGGGAAGAGTTCGCACAAACACAACATTGAAATCGAGATGCACAAGCATCATGCATGCATTCAGGCATAACTTGACGGCTTGAATAGCAATCAAGCCGGTACTTAAATGTTATTTATATGTTATTTTCCAATATTCCGACGTTTCTTTTGCCTTTCAGTATATTTAGTATAAATTCTGTCTGTACTTAACGATTTCCACAACCGGTAAATTTTGCCGAATTCGTTTTGTTTATTATCTTATGGTTGACAATACGGACATATGTTGGTTCGTAATCAGTTCCCTGTTGAATAATACTTATGTTATTGACTACTTAACGTTGTTTAAAAATGGTCATATTATTTATTTCATTTACATTGCTTTCAATGACTTAACACGCATGCTTTTGGGCACGAGGAAGAATCTACTCATGACGAAAAACAACCATTTTCCGTTTTTGAAGATGTACTCTGTGATCGAGCCCATGGGCACTGTAACTCATGATTTCAGCCACTGGTGTGATCATCGCTGTTCGCATGGGTAGAGAGCGTTGTGATATTAAACTACACTACAAAAGTCCGAAGGGCACCTGATTCTTTGACACTGCAAAAATTGATCATTCGTGACCTTTACTCAGTAAAGTATTACTTTAAGTAGTATATTCATACATACACTCCGTTATTAACAGTCTGGTTCATATTGTCCCATACTCGTATCTCCGCATCTATTTGCGTTTCGGAGCTCATATTTGCAGGACATGAATGCTTAGAAATGTTTGAGTATGCTTTCATGAATTTTCTTGTACTTAAAACCAATGTCCATTTTGCTGTGTTCTCTTAATTCGTTGTAGTGGAGCGACCGGACAATGTGATATTAACATTGTTTTGGTGAGAGTGTTTAACTCCCCTGGGTAAGATACATGGGTATAATTTGATTTACACAAATTAAGTATAAGCTTCTAATATTACTGTGCCATCACTGATCGTGGATATGTCATTTCTGAAACTTTGCGTGTGTGTTTTTCAAAATCCCTTTTGAACATACAAATTGAATTATTTTATGTCCTACGGGATGGTGGTTTTTTCGAAACTGTAGAGCCTGTTGAAAGCATCCAGTTGTATCATTATCTGTTTATGGCAACCCTTTGGGGATGCAGGATGCGGGATGCCGGAATAACACTGTTTTCAGAATTATCAATGTTTGTCTGTCAGCTGCTTGTGAAGTGTTCCGCTTTATGTTTAATGGAGGTTACCTTTGATACTGTTACCCCTGCTATGGGTCCTTTTGTAAATAAATATCACAACATCCGAGATACTTTAAATATATGTTTTAAAAAAACGATGCAACGATATCTGTAATTCGTTTGACACGCCTTCATTGAAACGTCAATGATTACCGTAGATGTAAAATGACAGATCAGCGATGAGACTGGGATTTGGTTTAAACATATTATATTGTCCAAAAGACAAGGGGATTACGCACACGTGCATCACTTATGGCCGCCTTCTCCCTAAATACAGTTGAATATGTTATTCCTGTGATTTGAAGGAAACGAACCCGTAGTATTCAACAACTGTGGCATAAAGTGCAGAAAGAATGTTATATGTTTCTGTAATGCACACATGAACAACTACATTGACACTGAGGATGTCAACGCCAATGTTTGTCGTCAAAAATATGTTTCGAAACAACATGAAGATATGATAGCACCTTGCCCAAGCGAGTTCGAAGCACACAAATGTGACCGAAGCGTACTTACAATGCACCAGGAAGAACTGATATTACAAAGGCTAACATTCCTTTTCACGATTCTGAAATACTGTTAAATAGTCAGGGATACTCGGAAAAAATTCCAATATTGTAAGAGATTTTAGTATCTAGTTATAGCTGTAATAATGATAATGAACACACACATGCATGCAGGCACGCACGCACGCACGCACACACACACACACACGCACGCTCGCACGGAAACCAAACGCGAAATATACAACATAACAATATATATCAGCACGAAAGGGGAATTGTTTAATTTTATAAGAGACATATTATTATCTGTTCTTATAAAAGATTCCATTAAAAAATGAACTGCCTTAATTTAAGTCTATATAAACATGTGCCTCAAAAGGTCACTTGTTGGGGCCAAGCTAATGTTTGTCATTAGGAATATGCTTCGAAAGAACATGAAGATATGAATACAGGTCACGTTTCATGGATAACAACTTCTTTTTGTCCTTTATGCAACGTTTCAGAGCTAATTATTTGCTCCTTCATCTGGTGTATGCTGAGTCAGTGCACAGATTGAATATATGTAGAAAAAAAATCAAGGTGGGTTAAAGTACAAAGTTAACATACTACGAAACCATTTAGCTGGTTTAAAGTACACATATAACAATGTAAGATAAAGACGATGATTATAGCACAATGGAGTACACACTGGGAAGGAACATGCCTTAGTTTCGGTTAATGGATAGCTTCTTTGGATTTGGATGCTTCCTGAACTTGTTATCCATAAAAAAGTACCATTTATTCATTTTCATCCAACTTATAAATGCCTTTCAAGAACGACATGATGATATGAGATCACCTTGCCCACGTGAGTGTGAACTGGGCCGAAGCTCACAAAGGTGACCGAAGCGTACTTACAATACATCAGGAAGAACTGATATTACAAAGGCTAACATTGTCAGAGATTTTGTGTCTAGTTATAGCACAGGCAAACTGTAGCGCAAATAGGGTTGCGAAACATAGAGAAAAATGACCAATCCTGTTATGCGAGTGAATCGAGCAAAGGTTGGCAACGTACTTACGTCGCTTCTTTGCGAAAAATATTTTTAATGTCAAAAGACAACATCGCCACCATCAAAGGTAGACACCCATTTCCTTAAAGGGTCGTGGTCTCAGATTTCCAACTTCATATTTAAGAGATACCTGACATAAAATATATTTCATTTAACATTTTAAGCGCCACTCGTAACATAAATATAAGTTATCTTTCACCCACTAATGATAGGAGACAGGGGTTGCCTAGCTTACACAGTGGTTTAAAAATCGACGGCTTGTGGCGTGAAATGGCGCTTATGTGGGAAGGCCATGCAATATGTGAAATGTGGTAAAAAATCACTACAAAGGTATCTTGGGCACCCACACCCCACTGCATGGGTGGGTGGGTGTGTGTGGGGGGTGGGGGGGACATGATCATGATATCGCCATACCATTATTTCTTCCCACACAATAATATTCAGTTATTCGACAAGTTTAATGAAACGTTATCACCGACAGATAATTGATGCGCATGCTCCATCCTGATTAAGAAAAAAATAATTTCAATACAATCATGTTACGTCACGATCAGGGGTAGATGGAGCGCTCCAACAGCGTCATGATGTTACTCAAGATGTATACGTCATGACAGGATAAAGTCAGCATCGTTGATCTTTTAGCGAAGAAGTTTTAAAATATGTAATTATTCAAAATTTCCGCAACTATGATGATTACTACAAAGGGCACATAATCAATGTTGAAGCCAAAATACCTTGTGTGATAACAATAATCCATGGTACGAACCTGAACCCGAGGTCCATCCATGGTACGACCCTGAACATGTCCAGGGCGTCATGGAAAATGATGCTTTCAAACTTCTGTGGAATAGACCTATATACAGCCTGAGAAGAATTCTTGCCAACAAACCTGATCTTGTCCTTTTTTGATAAAGCTAATGAATTTATTTATATCATTGAATTTTCTCTGACTTGGTGATCGTTCCAGGGAACCTGACAGCCCAACGTTACATCAACCACGTGTTAGAGCTTCACCTTCTCCCGATTATTGACCAACAGACACAGATTTTTCAACGGGACAACGCCCGGCCTCATACTGCACGTGCAACAATGAACTTTCTGCAGAATTCCAACGTCAATGTCTTGCCATGACCCTCTAAATCACCAGACCTCAACCCTATTGAACACCTGTGGGATACTCTGGATCGACGCGTACGTCAACGTCAGCCGCCGCCACAGACGCTGCAACAGCTCGCCGTTGCACTGCAGGAGGAGTGGAGAGCCATTCCCCAGGAACGAATCCGGCGTCTTATCCGTTCTTGTCCAAGGAGATGCCGTGCAGTGATTGCAGCGCGTGGTGCTCATACGAGATACTGAGACAGACGCCCCCCTGGTGACAAACTGGTGTCTGTGAGATGACTTTTGAAATGACAATTTTAAACATGCCCATCTGGGTTATTATTCTGCCAAATTTCAGACTTCTGTCTTAAATAATACAAATGCCGTGTCGTCCTAAAACTTCAGATCAAAATCTCTAAAATACAGGGGTTGCGTTTCTTTTTTGACAGAGTTTATATCCTCACGAAAGGGGAATTGTTTAATTTTATAAGAGACATATTATTATCTGTTCTTATAAAAGATTCCATTAAAAAAATGAACTGCCTTAATTTAAGTCTATATAAACATGTGCCTCAAAAGGTCACTTGTTGGGGCCAAGCTAATGTTTGTCATTAGGAATATGCTTCGAAAGAACATGAAGATATGAATACAGGTCACGTTTCATGGATAACAACTTCTTTTTGTCCTTTATGCAACGTTTCAGAGCTAATTATTTGCTCCTTCATCTGGTGGATGCTGAGTCAGTGCACAGATTGAATATATGTAGAAATAAAAAATCAAGGTGGGTTAAAGTACAAAGATAACATACTTTGAAGCCATTCAGCTGGTTTAAAGTACACATATAACGATGTAAGATAAAGACGATGATTAGAGCACAATGGAGTACACACTGGGAAGATGCCTTGGTCTCGGTTAATGGCTAGCTTCTTTCTTTGGATTTGGATGCTTCTTGAAGTTGCTATCCATAAAAAGTGCCATGTATCTATTTCATCCAACTTATAAATGCCTTTCAAGAACGAC